AGGCACGCACCACCATGCCCAGCTAATTTTTTGTATTTTTAGTAGAGACGGGGTTTCACCGTGTTGACCAGGATGGTCTCGATCTCTTGACCTCGTGATCCACCCGCTTCGGCCTCCCAAAGTGCTGGGGTTACAGGCGTGAGCCACCACGCCCGGCTATGAGTTGATTTTTTAAAGTGAGTTAACTTATTTTTATTTTACTTTTTTCTTGAGAGAAGTTCTCGCTCTGTCATTCAGGCCAGCGCAGTGGCATGACCTCGGCTTACTGCAACCTCTGCAAAGTCAGTTAATTTACACATAAAGATTAACAATAATACAGGTGATACTTGGAAATGGAAGGGGAAAAATCCCAAAGGTATTGAATTTAGGACCTGAGATTGCTTCCCCACTCTCAGCTTTGGCTCTGCCTGTTTTCTTTACCTGGAATGATTTTTCCCTGCTCCTAAAATATGCAATCCATATTTTGCGTTCATATTTTTGGACTCATATTTGGCTCACTGGCTCATGCCTGTAATACCAGCACTTGGAGATGCTGAGGTGGGTGGATCATTTGAGGTCAGGAGTTTGAGACCAGCCTGGCCAACATGGTGAAACCCCATCTGTACTAAAAATACAAAAATTAGCTGGGCATGGTGGTGGGCACCTGTAATCCCGGCTACTCAGGAGGCTGAGGCACGAGAATAGCTTGAACCCAGGAGGCAGAGGTTGCAGTGAGCCGAGATGGTGCCACTGTACTCTAGCCTGGGAGACAAAGTGAGATTCCATCTCAAAAAATAATTAAGACCAGACACGGTTGTTCAGGCCTGTAATCCAGCACTTTGGAAGGCCAAGGCAGGCAGATCACAAGGTTAGGACTTCGAGACCAGCCTGGCTAACATGGTAAAACCCCATCTCTATTAAAAATACAAAAATTAACCAGGCATGGTGGCAGGTGCCTGTAATCCCAGCTACTTGGGAGGCTGAGGCAGGAGAATCACTTGAACCCAGGAGGGGGAGGTTGCGGTGAGCCAAGATTGTACCACCGTACTCCAGCCTGGGCAACAAGAGCAAAACTCCATCTCAAAATAAATAAATTAATTAAATAAGAAAAAAATAAATAAAAATAAATAAATATTTAGAAGACACAAAAAATATATATATTATGCGTGTGACCCACCCCCCCCAAACCCAGCAGGCACAGCTCCTCCCTGATGCCATCACAAACCCTCCTGCTCTACTGGTCTCCCTGGATTCCCAAGTGATTGTGCCATCAGACCCCCTGGGAGGGGGCCCCAGGAGAGGCAAGGGAGGGACCAGCCAAAGGTCAGTCCAGCACTCAAGGACCCCACCAAGGGCTGGTCACCTGCCCGGGGACTCAGAACACACATGAGTTGCCCCACTTGAGCTCAGGATCCTGGCAATACACAGGCACGCTGAGCCCCGGATGTCCCTAATCCCTCTCCAGCACCCTCCAGCCTTGCAGAAGCAGCCACCATGCCAGTCTCTAAGTGCCTGAAAAGGTCGGAGCCCCTGTGGAAGGGGTGGGACAGGAAGGCCCAGAAGAACGGCCTGCGGCACCAGGTGTACGCTGTGAACGGCGACTACTATGTGGGCGAGTGGAAGGACAACGTGAAACACGGTGAGTGGGCACTCTGGGGACGCACGGCCAGAGTGGCTCGGAGCCATGCTGGGCCACAGGGCCAGGAAGGCAGCGTGCATGGCTCAATGGGGACATGAGATGTGCCCTCAAGGCTCCCCAGGGTGAGCGCTGGTCCAGGCCAGCTGTGGCCTCTGACCCAAACTCACCCCTGACTTCAACTGAGCGAGGGTCTCAGGACCAGCAGTGGACAGAGGGTCATGAGAAACTGGCCTGGCCCGGGTTCCTGCCTTTTGAGACTTGGGTTAAGCACCAGGCTGGCTGGCAACAAGAAAAGCCAACCCCCTCAAAACCAGCTTGCAGTGGGGTTCTGGGCTTTACATTCAGCTGTGATGTTCCCCAGGGGGCTGAATGCCAGGCACAGGGAGGACCCCCTACTTCAGCCCCACCCCCAGGAGGCACAGGGAGGACTCCGTACTCCAGCACCCCAGGAGGAGCTAGGGCTCCAGTTCTGACCAGCAGTGGGCAAAGGGGTCCTGCTGATATAAACTACATCCTGATTGGGAAAAGAAAGAAAAAGAGCTTTATTTTTTATTTTTATTTATTTATTTTTTTTAAAGATGGGGTTTCACCGTGTTGGTCAGGCTGGTCTTGAACTCCTGACCTCAGGTGATCCGCCGCCTTGGCCTCCAAAGTGCTTGGATGACAGGCGTGAGCCACCGCGCCTGGCCAAGAGCTTTTATTTTAAAATGTGGCATTGCTGCTGTCTCCAGTCTTGCAATTCCAGACTCTGTACTCTTTTTTTTTTTTGGCGGGGGAGGGTGGGAACAGGGTCTTGCTCTGCCTCAAAAAAAACCCAGGATGGAGCGCAGCGGTGCTTTCAGAGCTCACTGCAGCCCCAAACTCCTGGGCTCAAGCAGTCCTCCTGTCTCAGCCTTCTGAATTGCTGGGATGAGAAGTGGGAGTCACTGTGCTTGGCTAGATTCTGTGCTGTTAACCACTCTGCTCTCCTGCCTTGCTGGGTTAAGTGATTTGCAGTCCAGTAAATCTGGGTTAGGATCCCAGTTCCAGGCCAAGTACAGTGGCTCACACCTGTAATCCCAGCACTTTGGGAGGCCAAGGTGGGCGGATCACTTGAGGTCAGGAGTTCAAGACCACCCTGGCCAATATGATGAAATCCCATCTCTACTAAAAATATACAAAAATTAGCCGAGCACGGTGGCACGCACCTATAGTCCCAGCTACTTGGGAGATTAGGCAGGAGAATCGCTTGAACCCAGGAGGCGGAGGTTGCAGTGCGCCGAGATCGCACCACTGCAGTTCAGCCTGGTGACAGAGCGAGACTCCATCTTAAAAAAAAAAAAAAAAAAGATGCCTGAGTGTATTCCTAGTTCTTGTGGGGGCATGTGTTGTGGACACAGCCCTGGGCACTGAAGAACCCAGCTGTACTGCAGAGCAGTTGTGAGGCTTCAGGTAAATCATTTCCCATTTGCTGGCTCTCGGTCTCCCCATCTGTGACAGGCCAGTGGGCTTCCATCTGTGTAAGTCCTGCCGCCCCTCAGACCTTGGAGGTGTAGACCCAAAGCCGATGGGCCAGGGGCTGCAGAAAGCAGATCCATTGGAGAACTGAGGTCCCCTCTCTTCAACACACACCCTTTGACCAAGCTGAAGTGAGTTGCTGTGGTATGAGCAGATTGGAAGCAGTCAAGACAGTCGTCAGACAAAGTGAGGACAGGGTGGCCTGGTGGCTCCCCGCGCTGCTCATTCATTCACTCCACAAACACTTACTGAGCTCCCAGTCCATTCCAGGCCCTGAGTGGGGCATCCAGCATAATCCCAGACCTCAGGGAGCTTTCAGTGCTGCAGAGAATCTGCCCAGGAAGGTGACATGCGCATTTTACAGATAAGGCATCTGGCACTGAGAGAGGAAGTAACTTACTCAATGTCAAGGGACTATAGGTAGTGGCATCTGGATGTGAAGGGGACCAGAGAGGAGACATGAAGGGGCCATGAGAACACAGACAGTGGGAGAGGTGAAGTTCCAGCTGGGCGGGACAGGAGGAGGATGAGTTCACCGAGCAGGGGGCATGCCTACTAGGCAGTGAGCCAGAACGGGGGATGCTCTCGAGGACTGGGAGGGTGCCGGTCGTGGCAGTGCATACCTGTAGTTCCAGCTACTCGGGAGGCTAAGGTGGGACGATTGCTGGAGGCTAGGAGTTCAAGACTAGCCTGGGCAACATATCGAGACCCCATCTCTATAAAATAGAATACTTTCTTTTTTTTTTTTGAGACGGAGTTTTGCTCTTGTTACCCAGGCTGGAGTGCAATGGCGCAATCTCGGCTCACTGCAACCTCCGCCTCCCGGGTTCAGGCAATTCTCCTGCCTCAGCCTCCTGAGTAGCTGGGATTACAGGCACGCGCCACCATGCCCAGCTAATGTTTTGTATTTTTAGTAGAGACGGGGTTTCACCATGTTGACCACGATGGTCTCGATCTCTTGACCTCGTGATCCACCCGCCTCGGCCTCCCAAAGTGCTGGGATTACAGGCTTGAGCCACCGCACCCGGCCACTTTTTTTTTTTTTTTTTTGACTCAGAGGTTTGCTCTTGTCGCCCAGGCTGGAATGCAATGGCACAATTTTGGCTCACTACAACCTTCGCCTCCTAGATCAAGCCTGATTCTCCTGCCTTAGCCTCCTGAGTAGCTGGGATGACAGGTATGTGCCACCACACCCAGCTAATTTTTGTATTTTTAGTAGAGATGGGTTTTTACCATGTTCCCAGGCTGGTCTCGAACTCCTGACCTCAGGTGATCTGCCTCAGCCTCCCAAAGTGCTGGGATTACAGGTGTGAGCAACTATGTCTGGCCTTACAAAATAGAATACTTAAGGAATTAGCTAGGCATGGTGGTACGCTCCTGCAGTCCCAGCTACTCAGGAGGCTAAGGAAGGAGGATCACTTGAACCCAGGAGTTAGAGAGGCTGCAGTGAGCCATGATTGTGCCACTACACTCCAGACAGAGTGAGACTTTGTCTCAAAAGAAAAGAAAAAAATAAACGGCCAGGCCAGGTGGCTCACACCTGTAATCCTAGCACTTTGGGAGACCAAGGCAGGCGGATCATGAAGTCAGGAGATCATGACCATCCTGGCCAACATGTATTGAATCCCCGTCTCTACTAAAAATACAAAAATTAGCTGGGTGTGGTGGCACACACCTGGAGTCCCAGCTATTCAGGAGGCTGAGGCAGGAGAATTGCTTGAACCCGGGAGGAAGAGGTTGCAGTGAGCCGAGATCGTGCCATTGCACTCCAGCCTGGGCAACAAAGAGCAAAATTCCATCTCAAAAAAAAAGAAAAATGAAAAAAATTTTAAAAAGAAGGAGACTGAGGCTGGGCATCGGTGGCTCATGCCTGTAATCCAAGCACTTTGGAGGCCAAGGCGGGTGGATCACCTGAGGTCGGGAGTTCAAGACCAGCCTGACCAACATGGTGAAACCCAGTCTTTAAAAAAAAAAAAAAAGGAGACTGGAAGCCAGGATGGCTGCAACAGAGTGAGCAAGTAGGGAGTGGGCAGGTCAGAAGGGCCAACCATATAGGGTCTCACAGGCTGTGATGACGTTTGCCTTTATCCCAGAGGCAAGCAGCAAATGGCTTAAAAATGGGGCCACGCTTGGTCACTGCTTACATCCTCACCATCCTAACAGCCAGAGTGGGGGTGCACCAAATATGTGGAGCATGAATGGTGAGTCCACAAGAATTAGGAATAACCCAGTTCACACTGACTTCACAATATGTATTGAGCACCTACTATGTGCCAGGAACTGTGCTAAACTCTGTGGAAATGTGGCAGTGAAAAAAACAAAGATACCTGTTCTTTTTTTTTTTTTGAGACGGAGTCTTACTCTATCAACCAAGCTGGAGTGCAATGGCACGATCTCTGCTCACTGCAACCTCTGTCGCCCGGGTTCAAGCAATTCTCGCGCCTCAGCCTCCCGAGTAGCTGTGGTTACAGGCACCTGCCACCATGCCCGGCTAATTTTTTGTATTCACCATCTTGGCCAGACTGGTCTTGAACTTCTGACCTCCTGATCCACCTGCCTCGGCCTCCCAAAGTGCTGGGATAACAGGCGTGAGCCACCGTGCCTGGGCAATACCTGTTCTTATGAAGCATGTTTAGCAGGGCTAGACAGACAGCAAATGATAAATATTATAAGTAAATAATATAGTATGTTAGAGGTGGTAGGTATACATGTATGAAAACAGGAAAGTAGAATAGGGTGATCTGAATTTGGAGAATTAAATGGTGGTCTCCACTCAGTGAACAGGCGAATTCTCAGTCAAGATTTGGAGGAGAGGGAGTGGCTGAGTGGATGTTTGCAGGGACCAGCATTCCAGGTGGCAGGACCAGCCAGAGCAGAGAACGTACCTGGGGTGTTCAAGGAACAGCCAGGAGGACGGTGTGGCTGGACAGAGTGAGGAAGAGCAGGAGGTCAGAGAGGTTGTGGGCTGGCCAGGCACGATGGCTCACGCCTATAATCCCAACCACTTTGAGAGGCCGAGGTGGGCAGATCACTTGAGGTCAGTAGTTCAACACCAGCCTGGCCAATATGGTAAAGCCCGATCTCTACTAAAAATATAAAAAATTGGGCAGGCGTGGTGGCTCACACCTGTAATCCAAGCACTTTGGAGGCCAAGGCAGGCAGATCACCTGAGGTCGGGAGTTCAAGACCAGCCTGATCAACATGGTGAAACCCCATCTTAAAAAACAAAAACAAAAACTAGCTGGGTCAAGTGGCGAACACCTGTAATTCCAGCTACTAGGGAGGCTGAAGCATGAGAATCACTTGAATCTGGGAGGCAGAGGTTACAGTGAGCCAAGATCATGCTACTGCCGTTCACTTTGGGTGACAGAGCAAAACTATGCCTCTGCCTCAAAAA